CCAAGGCAGCCAGCCACAACACCGCGAATTCCTTAGGGAGTTGCCAGCCTCATCTTCTTGAACTTACTACCCTCCCGTTTGGGGCTCAGAACACGCTTATCTCCCTGAGCCTGGCCTTCAGAAGTCCATTCCATCACAACTGGCTCGAAAAAGCTACCCTATCTTCTCCAAGGAAATCCATTAACTGGCTGAGTTAATGCTATCGGTTGTTGAATAAGACATGGGATGGACAGATCCATGAAACCAAGCAAACCATATTAGGGCTTGCCAGTAATGTTTACGAAGCTCCCTCTGGAGTCAACAGTGGTTGTGGTCAGCTGCTTTAGCACAGGTACACCTGCTTATTGAAAGCAGGTGTACCTGTGCTACACTCCTGGGGCGAGTGTGGGATATGAATTCCATTAACAATACGCATCAGCTTTGATCTCTCCCTGAAATACAGTATCCATTAGTGGTGTGCTTTAAAATTATCTCCTGGCCCACCCAAGAAGCGGCTCTCCACAAACAAAAGCCTTGTTGGATTAAAAACAGAGGGTTGGCTTGAGTAACAGGACGTTCCAGAAGAAACTTGGCTCTGATGACCGTCCTTGAGAAACTCTGAATGCAAAGGATGGAAAGAGACTTTGCCACTGAAAGAGGCAGAAAGATAACATACTGGGAGAAGTTATAAAAAATAACAATGGAAGAATCGGCTTTTGCGTGGTTTTTCTATGTGTCTTAGTTCAGGCCTCCCTAATCCAAGGGCCTCTGGATGTGTTCAAACTACAAATTCCAGAGTTCCAGCCACTGTAGTTCTGGCTGAAGTGATAGGAAAAAAATCCTAAATATCCTAGCCATAAATAGATTTCCTTTTCTTTCTTGTGCCTTCGAGTCAGTGTTGACTACTGGCAACTGCCTGGACAAGTCCCTGGAGTTTTCTTGGCAAGATTTCAGAAGTGGTTTGCCATTGCCTCCTTCCTAGGGCCCAGAGAGAGTGACTGGCCTTGTGCCTAAGGCAGGACTAGAATTCACAGTCTCTGGGTTTCTAGCCTGGTGCCTTAACCACTATACCAAACTGGCTCTCATAAAGAGATGTTAATAGTTATAAAGATCTGATAAAGGGCACAGACTAGTGCCCTCTGCTCCCCTAACGTGACTCTTTTCTCTTACCCCAAAGGCACTTAATCAGGCGCAGAAGATTAGCAGTGGGTAAATAATGGCAAAGAGCAGCAGTGATGAGCAGTGGGGCTTAGCCCAATGCTAAGAAAAGAGGCAACAGTTCAAAGGACAGGCAAAGCTTGCTATTTTCAATTCCACAATGCCTCTGGGCCCTGACTGGGGGAAATGCATGGCTAATGCCACTGTCTCTTAAAAAAAAAAAAAAATTCTGGTATTTGGGACCCAGGCACTGACCCATAGCTTTGGGCTCTGACACAGAGCTTGTAGGAACTGTTCCTTTTTTTTTTTTTTTTTTGCAACGGTGTCATAGTGGTTGGTGAGTTAGAGTTGCACTTGGGAAGTGAGACTGAAGTAGTTTTAGTGGAAGTGAGATGGACGTGGGGAGATGGTGGGAGAAGAAGAAAAGAACAGAAGACAGCTGAAAGCTGGGTGATGCAGGCAGTGGGGTAAGTGTGGAGAGGAGCTGGACAAAGAACCAGGTTTGGCCAACTGTGCCAGCCAGGGATGGCTGGCAGGTTCATGGCAGTCAAGAAGATCATGGCTCAGGAACGGGCAGCACAAGAGGAAGAGGAAGGCCAAATAAGAGACCCACCGATACAGTGGGATTGGAGACTGTGACAGAACTGGAAGTGGAAAGCAAAAGAGAGAGGCTGAGAGCAGATCATACAGGAGACTGAGATGAAGACTGACATGGACTCATTTGGACTGAAGAAGTCAGCTGGAAAGGGAAAGAAAGAACAGAGGGGACAGAGTGGGGGAAAAGTGGATAAGAGATGTGGCAATCAGAATGGTATGGATGGAAGAAGAGAGATGTGAAAGAAAGTAAGCCAGATGGTTAGAGAATTAGCCTAGTGCTGAAAGGAACAGTGTGGGACAATGAAGATTATCAGGTGATCCAGAAAGAGAATGGAGGAAGAGCAAAGGACCCTGACAAGTGGTCAGTGGACAGTGAGAGCGCGATGGGGACTTAGATTAATGGTCCAGAGAGGAGCTAACATTTTGGAGGCCAGCACTAGAGCACTGGCCTAAGGCTGCAACCAGTCAGTGAATACAAGCCATGCGGTCTGAACTGGAGACCTTGGGCAACTGCTATAGGTCCTTCGGGAGGGTCTTGATAAAGATGGGGACTGGATGGAGCCACAGAGGAACAGGTGCTACATAATCCATGCATATCAATTAACCTGGAAATCTCAAAAAGAAGATGCTGGCCTAGATGGGACAGGAAAGGGGTTAGCTCACCTAACTTGGGGGAACCTGGGAGTGGGGTGGCCTAGGACTCCTGGTGCCCCAGTTAGAATGAGTAGTGGGAGAATAAAGTCACAGGAAATTTTAAAAAATGGGTGGAATGAGAGTGAAGAGAGGAGCTGGTGGGAGCAGAAGTGGACTGACACCAAGGGATTGGCAGAGTGGCTATGTCAAGTACACACCAGATGGATACGGAGTGGGAATGGAAGGATGTATGAATGGAATAGGAATGAATGTGAGCTTGGCGGGGGGTGCTGGTTGGGACTCCTGCAGCTGGGAGGGGAAACAAGGAAGAACTAAGAGGAGGCAGTATGGAGGGTGAACGTTTGAAGTAGTGATGGGTTGGGGAGAAGAACTGGGCAGACCATTAGAGGAGAAGGGTGATAGGCAGATACTCTTCTCTCTCCCAGCTCAGCATCCTCAACCCAGTGCCTACGTGACCAAATTGTGGGTTGTCTCAGCATCAAACTATTGCCAGTTCTGTGTAGAATAATAACATCCATGTTTCTGACTTGGCATGTATTACCAAGACTTGGCTGGGGAGAGAGGCAATGTGACCCTCCCTGAAACCTATCTCACTGAGCGTCAGATCCCACATCAGGTTTAGGAAGTGGGGTAGCAAAGAGTGCCTGGGACAATTTGGTTGTGACCAAGGGTCATGCTACAGAGGTGACTAGCCTGTTTCTGATGCTGGTGCAGTGGGACAAGTGAGGGATCCTGCTTAGGCACTTCCCATCTTGCTCCATGGCACGGTCCCTACCTGATCCCCTGGAGCTTATTGGAAGGTTGGTGATGGTGTAGCCTCAGCTGGTGGTGCTGTGGTGCCTTGGGTGAAGATTAACCCACAAACATACATGGACACACAAATAAATCACTTACAGGAAAACCCTTAATGCCTCTTTCACCAGTCTGCCCCGCTGGCCCCTGTCAGAAGTAAAATCAGTTAATGGGAAAATTCAGCTGCTAGGTTAGTAGCTCAAGCAAGTTAGAGAGGAAGCATTTTGCCAGCTAACTTGTTTGCCAGGCTACTTCTGAGCACAATTCAAAATACCAGTGATTAATTTTAGAGCCAGAAGTGGTGAGAAGGGCTAGATTAGAGAAGGGACAGATGAGCATCTGGATGTAGGTCTTGGGCAAGAATTTTGACCAACATTAAATGAAACTGATTAAATGTAGTGAGATACCTTTTAGAAAAAGGAATAACAAAGGTTTTTTGAACAAAATCTGGGATGCTTTTACTTATTTATTTGTATTATTGTTCTTGTTATGTTCTTATACTGCGAATTACTATGGTCTCAGGGCAACTGACAATAAAAACTTCAAACAGACTTCAAACAGACTTAATAAAAATACTAAATTTACATGTAAACATTAAAATCCAACAAAAATTAAAAGTCTGCTCAAAACTTATGTTTATAAGGCCTTTTAAAATGCCAAACAAGTGGATTTCAAGATCTGAAGAGACAGCGCATTCCAGACACTAATGGCAGCTATAGAGATAACTCCTTGGAAAATTATTATTGCTGCTGCTGTTGTTGTTATATTTTTATCTGCCTTCTTTACATATAACTCAAGGCGGCAAACATATCTAATACTCCTTCCTCCTCTTATTTTCCTCACAACGACAACAACCCTGTGAGGTGAGTTGGGCTGGGTGGCCCAAGGTCACTCAGCCAGCTTTCATGCCTAAGTGGGGCCTACAACTCACAGTCTCCTGGTTTCCAGGCCAGCACCTTAACCACTAAATTGGTGTGATGTAGAGGAACATACAGGAATTGGTCCTCAGACCTGTTGGCCCTAATGCACATTGTATTTTGTTCTGATATGTATGGGGATCAATACATTACAATGGCATTGGCTGTTTTTCCATATTGACCAATGGAAGAACAGAAGTTCTTCTGTTCAGAATCTTCTTTCAAGCATCTCCTGGGAAAATACATTTTCCCAGCTTATTTGGGGGATGCTTCACAACTGGGGCAAGAGGAGGTTTCTGCCCACCCAACTGATTTTTAATGGCATAGCCTGAGGTCCATCCTCAACAGTCCCTAAGGCTGCCCTGCCTTTAACAAGAGCTTATGGAGGTTTTGAAGCTACCCCCTTTCTGGTCAGTCAGCAGAGATCTACAGAACTACAGAGAGAAACAGTGAAAGAGAAAGAGAGAATAGGTTAAGGGCCCATCTGCCTGAAGAACAGTTTTTTCCCACATGAGTTTGCCTGAAGTACCATTTTTCATCTGAGGCCCTTCTCCTGATGTCATAACATCTCAAGTACACCAAAGTATACCTGTCATTAAATGTATTATAGGTCTGTCAGTAAATGCACTGTGGGACCAAACTATATCTGATGGTAAATGTACCACTGTATTGTATAAGACGGTGCTATAATCCAGATTCAAAGGGGAAGTGGTGATTTGGCACGCTTGGAGGTATTTACCTAACACCAGTTGGTAAGTTCTTAAAGAAGTGTACTTTTTTCTGGGCTCACAGTACCCCAGGAAAAGATGTGTTTCATGTAATGTGGTGTCAACAAGTACAGTGTGCACATTCAAGTGGACTCCTGATCACCTCTTCCCCTTTGAATCTGGATTGTTGCATTGCCACAATATTTAATATTCCTTTTTGAAAATTTCATCCTAGCTCTTGAATATGCACTGGAATTAAAGCTCCCAGTGGAACCAAAGGCAGCTCCCCTTGCATTGCAGATAGTGATGATGGGAATGGCTTCAGATGCTAACATCATATGGCTACCAAATAGCCAACAGTATGGAGCTGGCATGTAGGCCAGCACTGTATGGAGTTAGTCAGCCCAATAACACAATTGCACCATCCAACATGAGGGGTTCCTACAGGAAACATCTTTGATGCCAGCAAGACTTCCTCCTCACTCTTTTAATTAAAAAATGGAACCCTGGCTCTTTACAAGAACAACAACAGCCTCCAATTTCATCTTTATTTCCATAAATGCTTCTGGGCCTCACGTGAGCCCCACTGGAATTCTTAGGAAATGGAAACAGAAGACCTACAGCCTTGTGTTTCATTCAGAAGTAGATCTACTTGCTCAGATTTTTTAAGAGGTCAATTAGGGTAATATGGAGCACTTTGAGGAAGGGGTAGGGGAAGGAACCCTTATGTGAGCAGGCAAGCCAATCAGCCATTTTGCGAGAGTGCCCACAACACACTTCCAAAATTCCAATAGTGCCCATTGACTCAAACGTTGGCCCGAACTTTATCATGCATGTTTTTAATGTATAAAAGGGATTTGGTGAACCCCACCTGTCTTCGGTGATCTGTAAAATGACACAAATCTAAAAATGGGCTTACCCTTTCACCTCGATCACCTTTTGGGCCCTTCAGCCCAGGCTGTCCAGGGGAACCAGGAATGCCCTGATGGAAAGCAAAGGCAGTAGAAGTTACATTGCTTATGAACAACTGTAATCTCTGGGGGATCCTTCAGCAATCATTATGTCACATGTCATTCTTGTGGGATGGAACAACATTTAAAATCAAGGTCAAGCTTAGTTAATAAAAGGCAGTTTAAGGTACTACGGGGCCCAGCACTGTCCCTGGGGTGTGTGTATGTGTGCGAGAAAACAAACAAAATGGTGGACGCAGCATTGTGACCCAAGCTCTATCTCTTTGTAGGTGTACTGTTAATAAACAGGTAGAACCAATTCTGTGTCTGCCATCTTGCCTGCTTTATTTATTTAATATCTTTCATTTTGTAACAAAACAATCTTTGATCTTAAAAAAAAGAAACTAAAACAAATACTAACTAAAAATGCAAAGTAAGAAGGAAAAGAAGAAGAACCTATCTTATATTTTATACTTATCAATAGTCACTGGTTTACCAATGAATTTGCTACTATAATATAAACAATACAAGATATTATGGTAAGATATCACAGAATCTCGACCATAACAACACATATTGCTGCATCCTTTGATAGGTAGAAAATATTACCTTTTGCAAAACAGATCACACGTTTATCTTGTCCGGTTTTACCATGCCCTGCAGACACTGTTGCACCTACCTATGACATCTATGTTACAAATGCTGACTTGTTTGACACATCATGTGTTTTTTTTAGCCTATCTTTAGAACAGATAACAAGCAATCCTTCAGCACTGCAGAGAAAGTAACTATATGGGTTATACCAGAGATGCATGACCCTTGAGTTGTACAGTACATAATTTTACATTTTGAACTATCACGTGTGGTGCAGAAAGGCAAAATCAGGGACACTAAGGCTATTACGACCTTGCCTCTTTTCAAAAAAGAAATGGTAATGGTAATGTTTTTAAAGCTTAGGAAAAAAATTCACCTTAATTTGACCTGAAAAGGTTCAACAGGTGGGAGAAAATGGTTTGCCTACCTGTACTCCAGGTGTTCCCATTGGCCCTGGTGCCCCTTTAGGACCTGAAGATCCAGGTGGGCCTGGTGAAAAATGGATTAATATATTTAAGGCATTTTCATATCACTTTCCAATAAAAAAAATCTTGAACCACTATGAGACCACTATGAGAGAGAGAGATGAGAAAATTAAGGCACAGGTTTTTTTAAAGGAGTGGATTATGAAGAACGTTATGTGGATTCTGATGCAAATACCTTACTGAATTAAAAGTGGAAAGATTCTAGGTTTTCCTCAAGCCAATGGCCGCCTGAAATGGTTGGATTACAAATTCCATCATTCCCAATTGCCATGAGTGTCTTAGCTGATATAATGTAGGCCTTTTGTCCAATGTACCTGGAGGCATCACTCTGAGGAAGATTCTTAAATCATCAACCAGGGCCCATCTGTCTGTTCCTTTTTGTTGGAGAGGAAATAAAGAAGATCCCAAAGAAGGGGTCTTTTGGCCTCTCACTTGGATGCCACCTTATCCCCCAAGTGACAGATGAAAACTATTTTATTCTCTTTAGCCTTTAATTTCACTCATTTGCAATTATTTAGCAATTGCAAAAATAAACCAACTTGAGAAGTCAGTTTATTTCTGCAATTCTGGAACAAGTTTTGGCAAGAAGTAGTAGCACAGCCAAGCTCTTTTTATTTTTAAAAAAGGGTGACAAACAGCCTGAGCAAGAAAGTGGTGATTCAGTAAAGACCTCAGAATGAGTTAGGGTTAGGGAGATTTACTGGGGAATTCAGAGGTATTTTATGGGCTGGGGGTGTTCAGCCTGAACAAAAGTTTACACCTCAGATTTGTTTTGATTTCCAGCTGAAAAACAGCAGGAACCTACGTTATGATTTTCTTTGCAATTTTCTACTGAAATCTGATGGATTCAGGGTTGTCTGGACTCCTTCCTTGTTTTAACCACCAGTGCCAAGAGTTGAACCTTGAGAGTTTCTGCAAGCAAAGCAGGTGCTCTTCTCCTGAACTGGCGACAGATCTAGACTCCACCTACATAACCTGCCAGGCATAATTTTGGATCCAGCTTCCAAATCTCTGCCCTAGAGAATTCTTGTGACTCCAGACAGGCTAGATCTTCCCGCCGTCTCTTTCCTAACTAGCGCTGAGTCCTTCCTGGCATGCAGCAGCTCCGTGCTTGGCAGAAGGAGAAGACTCATTTGGGCTGATCTGCTTGTTAATGCTGCATCGTTAAGGGATTGCCTTCAAATGGCTTTACCCTACCTGAAAAAAAAGGAGGAGGGAGCGATATAATTTCTTCCAGACGCCGACTATTAATTACACTTGCCGATCTTTGGGGAGAGGGGGGGACTGGCATGGGCTCCTTCCAAACTTAGCCTTAATTGTTTCAGTTGAAACCCCCATGAGCTCCAGACGCTCACCAGGGCAATTGAATCTGCCTCCATAATTAATGCAACCCTCATATATCAAAGTCTGGGATGAAATGAGCTGAAGGCTTGATGCAGGAATGTGGTAATAAGAGAAAGAACTTCTTGTCATCCTGATGGGAGGTCACTTTTGAGTGCCTCTGCTATAGACAAGCCACTTAAGACAATTCCTTAAAAAAAAAAGAAAGAAAGAAATGTACATTAAAATTAGAAGTACATGCCAGTCTAATGGAAGGAAGAGCTTTTTAATCTAATTCCCAATTGTTGGATGGATAGAAAAATTTGCTGTCACCTGTCACTCTATGATCCTTCTCTCCCCTTCCTTTGACTGAGGGTTGGGCATTTTTCGGTAGCCAGAGACAGTTCACAATTGTTACAGTTTGAGTGGGGTGAGAGTTTCAGGAGTTGGGCAAGAAGGCAAAATGGGTGCGATTGGAATTACAGTCTTCAGGAAATTGGAGTTTTTCTTTTTTCTTTTCTATATGTAAAGCAGTCATGGGCCAGCCATAGCTCACAGCTGCGAATGATTCCACAAGACCCATTTTTGTAGCCAGTCAGCCTCAAAGAGTATGCCACTGAAATTTGGCAGTAAAATGGCACTTTACTTTGGCATTTTATTTTTTTTGCCTTTTTTTATAAATTAAGTCCTCAAATACATGGGTTAAGACTCTGGCAGGCTTAAAGCATGTGCTTTGTGCAAGAATCCCTCCAAACTGATAAAAGAAAGCCCCCCCCCATGTGTCCCTCTCAAAGGAAACTGCAAAAGAAATTTATTCATCCTTACTATAAAACAGGGAGAGGGAACATTTTGGGTGTCAGTTGTACATTTACAGTGCATACCCATAAAATTGCTGCCACAGGAGTACAAATGACCGGACCCAATTTTATAACCATTTTTACGATGGTTGTTAAGCAAATCACTGTGGTCATGAAGCAAATCACATGGCCATTAAACAAGTCACATGGTCGTTAAAATGAATCCAATTTCTTGAATGGACTTTTTTGCTGGAATTCGCTTCACATGATTTGCTTAACGGCCATCCTAAAAAAGGTTGCAAATCGTGATCACGTGACTGTGAGGGGGGGGTACAATGGTTTGTGATGGTTGTACGTGCAAGTACAGGCTGTAAAGCACTTTTTCCAAGGTTGTTGTAACTTTGAATCGTTGCTAAATGAACAGTCACTAAGCGAGAACTACCTGTACAGCAAAGAACGATCGTGTTAAGAGGCCAGTACTTGGCTTTGCTGCATGCTAGTTTCCTATTTTATTCTGTTTATTTTACAAAAACCCTTTTAAAAAATCAGATGGGACAGGAAACCTGGTCAGTCTGAGTTCATGCTGGAGAACATGGATATCATATTATCTACTCCTTATGTAAAGCTGATTTTAAGTTTTCATAGGCTTCCCACCTCAAAATCTTTTAATTTCTAATGCAGTAAATACTGATAGATGTAACCTACATAAACCAAAGCTCTCTGAGGTCCTCAATCATGGTTAAGAATGTAAAGGGATCCTGAGTCCAAAATGTTTGAAAACTACTGCCATAGAGCGTAGAAAGTAGGCAGATAAACAGCTGTGAAAAGGTTTTAAAATTTGCTATTCATGGTGATGGTGACAGTTGTCAACCCTTCGAGGTAACCAAGTCAGGAAACCAACTGCACATGTTTGACTGGAACTCTGCTTTGTTGATATAGGCTGTAGAAACAGTACAGTCAGATTGAGTTTCTTGCTAATGCTTCCCCCCCCGCCCCATTTCCTCGGTTTAAAATATGCTTTATTTTTAATGGATGCTGCAGAGTTTCTCCAAGATCATCTTGGTGGGGACTCCAACTCCCAGAATCCCCCAGTTTCTATTCCCTTTGATTCTCTAAACCAGTGTTTCTCAACCTCAGCGTCTTTAAGAGGTGGGGACTCCAACTCCCAGAATCCCCCAGCC